AACAGTTTCCCGTTATAAGTATTTCCCGAAAAAGCGCGTCTACATTGGCAGGATGCTTTTCCGGAAAAGCACTTTTTCCGGAAAAGCATCCGTGCCAATCTAGACGCGCTTTTCCGGAAAAAAGCCCCGATCGTCATTTTCGCGATTAGGGCTTTTTTGCGGAAAACACTAATGTGCTGTCTACACTGGCCCTTTTCCAGAACAGTTTTCCAGAAAAAGGACTTTTGCCCGAGCGGGAGCAGCATAATATTTCCAGAAAAGCGGCTGATTTCTTACAGTAGATCATCAGTGCTTTTCCGGAAATTCAAAGGGCCAGTGTAAACAGCTGGCAAGTTATTCCGGAAAAGTGGCTGATTTTCCGTAATAAGTGGCCAGTATAGATACAGCCTAAGCAAATTGTGTAGCTTATTTCAATGCTATTTCAAAAGAGCTTATTTTGTAATTTGGCACTGTTTGCACTGCCAAATTCTGAAATAATGAACTATCCCAAAATGCCCCTTAACCCTTGTTGAATGAGTGTTTAACCCCCTTTTCCCTCCGCAGGTTACTCGGGAGCACGTCACACTCACAGGTGTGCCTGGGCACCTAATGGTTTTAACATAAAAGGAGATCCTGAGTACTCCAGTGGTGATGTTGCTTAGTTGGGGAAACCCTATCCAGCCCCTTGCTGCTGTCCCTTGCTCATAAAGAACTTATAATGGCAGTGCCTCCACCTGGCTGCCCCTGTAACACACTTACTGGTGTGCCTTGGGAACCTCCAGGAATAAACTTATTCCAACAATAAACTGGATCTAACTCCAGAACAACAATTACAAATCATAAATAATATACATCTAATAGATTGCATTAGAATGAACACCTTGACTTAACTTAAAGATACAGGATTTAATAAATTAACAGTGAATAATATCAATTAACAAAGAACGCAGAAGTAAAAGGAACTTATTTAGCTGCCATTTGCACTGCCAATATTTATCCCATCCCAGAGCGTGCACACTCCTGGACTCAGAGCCCCAGACTCTTGCTTGCGCGGGCGCTTGAAGAACTGCAGCTGTAATGGAGATTCTCTGTAGGTAGTGTGTATGTGGGTCCCAGCTGTGCAGCAGCTCTGCTTCACTGAACTGGCCTCTCTTTGAACCCAGAGTTAGTCTGAATCTCTGAGGTCTGGCTCAGGCAGCATTTTCCCAACGATGCCCAGTTACTCACAGTCTCCTTCTGTGTGCTGGATGCAGAGTAGCTTCTAGCCACAAGTACAGCCAAAGAGCCTCCCCTCTAGAGCAATCAGAAGCAGCCTGCTAGATCCCAGTTCCAAAAGGTTTTCCGTTAAAAGTATTTCCAGAAAAGTGCGTCTAGATTGGTCCCGGAGTTATCGTTATAACAATGTGCTTTTCTGGAAAAGCGCGTCTAGATCTGCTTTTTCAGAAAAGCAGAAGCCCGAAACCATTTTGAAGAGGGCAAAGGCCACCAGACCTTTCTTGGGGCGGGGCTGGAGCTCCATTCAGACACATGCTTAAAGGGGTCTCGCCGGACAGCCGTTTGTCTCATGCTCCCGTGTGTTGGGACCGCTGGCAGGGAGTGACACCCTTAGCAGGTTTGGTGGTTGCCCTCTGACTTTTGGGGACACCACTCTTTTGCCCCCAACGGCTTTTTCCTGCGTTTTCTTTCTTCTGCCCTGCCCTGTCTGCCATGGAGCCGTGGGTGGCCACGTGCCTGCTCGGGCTCCTGTCAGAGATGTGCAAGTGCCTGCAGCTCGTGCTGAAGGACAGTGCCCTGCTGTTCATGGACCAGGAGGCAACGATTGCATTGGACTCCCTCACCAGGGAGGCCATGGTGGCCCTGTGGCATCAGCACCCCACCGTGGAGAGGCCAGTCTGGAGTTTGGACACTAGCACCGACTGGTGGGACCGGCTGGTCCTCGGGCAATGGGACGACCAGCAATGGATCCGGAATTTCCACATGAGAAAGCGGACCTTCCTGCAGCTGTGCGCCTGGCTCACCCCCGCGCTACAGAGAGCCACCACCCGGCTGCGGGCACCCATCCCCGTCGACAAGAGGGTCGCCATCGCACTATGGAAGCTGGGCACCCCCCCCCGCTACCGATCGGTGGCAAACCAGTTCAGGATGGGCAGATCCACCGTCGGTGTCATTGTCATGGAGGTAAGTCCCAGGGGGAGTGGGGTGGGCGGAGGGTGTTGCACTCCATGCCCAGTGCTCAGCCAGGGTGCACCAAGCTCCACATGGGCAGGCGCAGAGGAGAAGCCGCCGATCAGCTGGAGCGGGGGGCAGCCTCTTTCAGCTGAAAGCCACGGTCAGCTGGGTCGGGTGTTTCAGGCCTCCAGACCTCCCAACTCCCACCATTACTCGCAGCTACTCACCTGTGTTGTTGCTCGGTGAGTAGCTGCTCCTCAAATGAGGAAATCTAATGTAAATGTACTGCACAGATATGCAGTTCAGAGAGGGCTCAAGAGCTACTCTGAGAGCCCCTGAGATCTACCGGTAGATCGTGATCTACTGGTTGGTGACCACGGCCTTAGAGTATGAGGAACTGGGAGACCTGCTCAGCGAACTCTGCAGGACGAAATCTCCATCGAGGAAACTGTAGGATCTGGGGGCTTTATGGGGCTCCCAGGTTAATCCTGTAGGCTCCTCCATTAATTTCTCTTCTGCATCTTCCAAGTCCCCCAAAAAGAACCAAAACAGGGAAGAATCCACAGACTGCTGAGTCTTCCTCCACACATGTGGAGAGATTCAAATCTCCCAAACAAAAGCCACTTCCTTCCTGGTTTCCTCCAGGGCTCATGGGAATTGTAGTCTCTGGGGCTAGATTACAGCACATAGGATCTTCCCTGAGAATAATCAGAGGCACCTTTAGTAAGGGGACTACAAGTGTTACTGGGATGTCGGAATAAGCTACCCAATATTTCAAAATCTATTTTAAAATAACTGTCTGCTTCAATAGATGCAGAATATCTATTTCAAAATACTTCTGGTAACCCAAAATAGCTCTGCTGTGTAGACATACCCTTAGGTAGCGGGAAGGCACTAAGCCCTCAACAGGGGAGAAAAAACTGAGACTTGCATTTTATGATACATGTGGGGCTTGGACAAAAGTGATTTGTTTTGTTTTGGAACATGTCACAGCTTAGGAAATCTAACAGCAGTATTCTTCAAAGGAACTTTAATGAAAATGCCCATATTAAGGAAAATACCCACATGGATTCAGGGAGACAGACTGAAAGTCATGTTCCATACACAATATAAACAAATAATATTTATTAAAAAGTTATTTGCACAAAAGTAATGAGACTTGTGTTTAAATATGAATGTTCATGGCACACGTCCCAACAAGAGCCCATGACATCAGTATTGGTGCATGAGACCAAACTCCCTCCACTTATGGATGGAAACACTTAGGAGGATACTGATGACAAGTGTTGCCGGCCGTCCCACAGTCACAGGGGAAGGTGACTTTGGCTTCGGTGGCAGGAGCTGCAGCTGGAGACCCCAATGAGATCTCAGAACACAGACTGGTACAAATCGCTCCCTGCTGCTGCGCAGCTTCCAGCTTCTCTCCAACCCACCAAACCCTGATTGGTTAATTCTGTGTCCTGCCACCCCCACCTCTGTCTGTCCCCAGCCTGGCTGTTAGTTCTCCCCCTGCTCAACCCCCACCTCTGCCCCTCCTGCAGCCCCAACGGGTCTTCTGCTTACCTTTCCCATCCCTGGGACTGGAGGAGGGTGGGGGAGGAGTTTTCAGGCATCACAGAAATGAGGAGGCTGGGTACAATGGAGTCCTCCAGGGTCACAGGGATTGGAGTGTGTGAGGCCAGAGAGGCTAATTTCAGGGGCACAGGCTGAGCTGGGATTTCCACCCCACCCAGAGCCAGGGTCGGATTCTCTCCCCAGGGAGGGAGCCCGGCGGGAAAGTGAAGATCGGGGCCTCGGTTCCAGCATCGATAAATGTCACCTGCCCCCGGTCACAGTCCAGACAAACCCGGATCCTGTGGGGGGGGCTCAGAGGCAGGCGGGTCTCAGGGAAGGTGAAAGCCCGGAACTGAACCCCCCACCGCTCCACAGCCCAGAACCCCCCCTCGGGGCTCAGGCTGATTTCTCCCTTCCTGCTCACAGACTCTTTGGCCACCCCCACAGCCCAGCATGGCCCATCCCCCACCTCCACCTCCCAGCAATGTCTCCCCGAGGTGAACCCCTCACGGCCCAGCACACAGGGCCGAGTGTCAAATCTCTCCGGGTTGTCGGGCAGTCGCTGCCGTGTAGGTTCCCATCTCACACGTTTCCGATCCCCAGACAGGATGAGCAGGGGATTCGCCGTGTCTGGATCCAGCATCACAGTCGCTGGGGAGAGAGAATCAGGGTGTGAGGGGCAGAGCTCAGCCCTGTGGGCGGCTGGGGCCATTTTTCACCCTCCCCAGCAGCCCTGTTGTGGCTGGGACAGGCCTGGGCCCCAGGGAGCTGCCTCTGCCCTGGGCCCTGAGACTGAGCCGAGCTGTCACTGCAGCGCCTCAGCCTGGGCAATGGGACCCGCTTCATCAGCTTCTCATTTGTGTGCAGAGGCTGCAGCCTCCTGCCCCCAGCTCGGGCTGCTCCACCCCCAGGGCCAGGCCCAGAGCAGGAGGGTTCAGTGGGGAGGAGGGAGCAGAGGAGGCAGGTTCCAGCTTTAACCCCCAGAGGGAAAC